TTTCATCAAGATTTCCTGTGGAAATTGGTTTACCTAACTCAATTTATTAACAGACTTCTCTATTGTCCCTCTGAAAGATGTTTATCAAACTGTCAATTTAGAGAAACTATTTCTTGTCCTGTGAGCATGCCTCAATTGTACATATCAATGGAGTGTGGAAGCACCACACATGCGTGGTGTCCACTCTCCACCCTTCTCAAGCCCTGAGAATCATGATTTCAGTTTCGGGTTGACACTTTGAACTTGTGTGTATGAGAGAGAACTTTTGGTTCTTTTTCTGGCCAGAAATGATTGTCTTGTTGAAAGATTAACATTCTTTGTTAGGTTACTCCTAAGATACAGACAGACTTAGTGATGAGTGCAAGGGAGACAGACAAGGAGGAAAGAGAACAGAGAAGAAGGGGAGAAAGAAAGCAGAAACAGAAAAGAAGGAGGAGGTGGAGAAGAGAGGGGAGGGGAGAGGAGGGGAGGGGAGAGGAGGGGAGGGGAGGGAGAACTGAAGTCTCCTTCCAGTGTGCATCCTGGGGAGCTGTTCCTTGTTCATTATTACCCTGCATCTGGCAGTTTTGAGTACAGGTCTCCTAGGTAACCTAGACAAAGGAAATGCCTTTCTAATTCTACTTTTGAATGTTTCCATTAAGTGGGCGTGTTAGAGCTGCTGTCTCCCTGGACTAAAGATAACCTTGAAGAAGGCCTATTATTCCTTGTTACAAGGAGTATGAGTTTGATAGTGATCATTAAAAAGCACAAAAGGAGAAGATAAAGTACTCCTCTTTGTACCAAGAGGTGATGCTGGGCAGCGTAGTAACACAATCAGGGTCATATGCATAAGTCCAGAGACCTCCATGTGGAATTACCTAATCCCAACACTCCTCGGAAAAAAATATGAAACCTGAGCAAACGACCTGAGCTGGCTGTAACACAATCTCTGTCTGGAAATGTTAGGAGTTTGCCTTGTCAGGGAGTGTAGTTGTGGGTCCAGAGCTTCCTCCTAGGAAGGAGGTGGTGACAATGGAAATATCATTTCTACTCCCCCTTCCCTGATCCTTGCTGTTTTTTTCATTAGCACTGTGAAACTTAATTTAGGAGGACAAGCATTTTGTGCTCAAAGCAAAAATTAATCTTGTTTCTGGGTAACAAAGTAGCTACTGAATATTTGCGCTGATTTTCTAATGCATTTTATAAAGGAAGTGAAAAATGTATCTATGTGGGTAGCAAACTCCATTGTCCATGCATTGGTTAGAAAGCTACTGTGCATTTGGCTGCAGAGAAACCAAGTAGCAATCCACTATATCTATCAAGGAATCAGAGACACCAGAGCGGCGGCTGGATACAAATGGGGTGAGATTCTAGTTGTCCTGGGCTGTGGGTGCATCCCTTGAAGAGCCTGGCACCTAGACCTCTGTGGCTCAGATTGTAAGTATCCCAAAGGGGCCCAGATTCTTGGGAAATGAGATTCAGACTCAGTAACCCTAGACCAAAACTTGATTTTTTTTTTTTGCAACCCCAACACAGTTCTTGGAATCACATGCTGCTGATGCCAATGGCTCGGGATATGAATCAAAATGATCACAATTACATTTTTTTGATATGCAATATCACCAATGTGATCAGCTCCCATTAGTAGACAATAGGTACATTCAGGCCTACGTACTTGTAAAAATGTTGTGTATTATTTGAGACAATACTTGCAACAGGTTGTTCGAGTTAATTTTATGATGTTGTCCATTTGAAGTTAAGAGAATGGGTCAAAGATAGGTGAAGTAATTTAACCAAAGTTGAATAACTGCTATGGGAAGGTTGGAAGTATAAGAAAAGTCCACTAGGGGAACAATGTCAAACAGAGAAACATAAATTAAAATAGCCATATGTATCATTCATCAGTCATCACTCACTGTAGCAGTGGACAAATCTATTGTATTTGTTTACTTATTTATTGCTAGACAGGCTTGATACATTCCAAGTGCTGGGATTATAGGTTTGGAAGCCATCATGCATGGTTTATGTAGTACTGGGGGTTAGTGGTGGGAATCCAGGGTCTTGCATGGGGCAAGCATTCTACTAACTGAGTTATAGACTCAGCTGGAACAAATATATTTTAAAAATAGCCAAGTAATAACTACCCTGGGCTTTGTGAGCATCAGTTACAACTACGCATCTTGGCTACTCACTGCAACTTCATCTTTAGCATATAAGTAAGTGGAAGCTGTATCTTGATCAACCTTTATAAGCATAGACACAGTCTATGGCTCTTCTGCAGTTCAGTGACTATCATCACTATAATATTCATATCATTTTACCCTGTTTTGGTTTTGTCCTTAGAACTATAGAGTAGTAACATGAATGAGTGTGAAAACATAAATAGAAAAAAAGCTCCATGCAAAAAAGTGTATCATGCATATGATTATAGTATATAAATAATTTATCATCAAATGCACATATCAACATGTTGAATCTATTATACATACATAACAGTTTATATAGCATAAGCTTTCTGTTGGCCTGGGTAAAGTTTATGACAGCACCAGGAATGTTTTTAAATCACCTATTTTTTTTACAATCATTTTCTAAATTTGGGAAATTTCCTTTCTATTTAATCATTTTTGTCAATAAATATGTTTCTTTATCTCAAAACTTATAAATAGTCTCTGTAGCCAACATAGTCCTAGCAAATATGCCACAGACTTTTTAATTCAAGACACAAGACTCCAATGATACTTTTCCTAGTAGGCCTCCAGTCAAAAGCTGGGGAACCACCGATGTCACAAGGTTAAGACTTTCATGAATTTTTGGAATCTTTGTGTCCTATATCTAGCACTATTCATTCTAACTGGGTGTTTTAAACTACTAGGCAGTTGTAGCTAGAATTAGGATAGAGGCAGAAAGAAGGAGCTGCGAGAGAGATGTGGTCAGTCTGCCCTTTCACGTGAGGCTAGACTACGTGTACACACACACGAGCCCAAGTGCTTGTTCCCTGGTTTCCTTTCTCTTAACCCTCTGAGGTACCTTCCTTCTACTACACAATCTAGTGAATGTTTTCCATTTTACTAACAATTCTTCAAAGACTGTGTTTGATGGTTACATGTTATTCTGTCACTTTAGACCCACAGATAAGGTAATACGTTCTCTCTTCTGCATCACTTCAGCATCCATCAACTTTCCATCCCAGGAGTCTATTCAAAAGTTGAGGCTGTGAGACTTTCCACTGTTCTTTTGAGAATCAAGTGAAACCATCTGTATCAAGGGCTTAACTCGGAGATTATCAGAAGCTTAATTGTGGGAGTCTGTCAGAATCCAGCTCTGACTTGTCAAAGGGTTCTTGGGTGGAGGAGAGAGGAGTGCGGAAATATTAGATAGAAAGACAGAAGGAGACAATAAGAAAGACAGACACACAGTATAGCTTCGGGAGGGCCCTGGATCAATACCCAGTCACCTTGAGGTTTATTCCAAAGGGCTTTTTGTACAATGCCAAGGGGCAAGACGAAAGACCTCCCACCAGGATCAAAGCACAACGTACAGCCAAGTGTAGCCCCTTCAAAACACCTGGTAAACACTACCATGCCCTAATCATCCCATTATGCAGCCCTGCTGTGTAAAGCAAGCTCAGATTCTCTGACCTTGAGTAATTTGGGCCCCTATACTAAATTTCACCCCTTTGTCCACTTATTTCTAGAAGTGTCCTTATTCTTAAATTGTCTGTCCTATCCGTAGTCTTACCATTGTGTCTATGCACACATTAGAGAAGAGGCAATGCCTGCTGAGATTTGGGCACTCTGTTTGGTCCCATTGAAGACCACTATGTTCAGAAGCCATCATGTACAGGGGGTGGCACCAGGGTACTGAGTCTGCCCTTGGGAGGTACTTAGAGCACCCAAGTGTCCCCTCATTCAATTGTCAGTGGCATCTTTACTTAATAGGCCAACCTGATCCTTAAAGGGGAGAAACGGACCACAGACATATTTCAGGTATTCCAGAGACTGTAGGTAAACTTCATGAATGACTAGTGTACTGTGAGATACTATATTATTAAATTCATCAGTATAAAAGTATTCTATAGGGAGATTTTTTTCTCACTAGACTTTAAAAAGGTGGAATGGAAACTTTTATGTTTATATTTAATTTTTGTATCACCATCTTTTAAATGTTCCCAATTATCAAAACAGAAGTGAGAAAATAAACATGTAATAATTGTCAATAATTATTTTTTACTTTTCCAATTCATGAGTGATTATTTATTCTCTCTATTGGTGCAAGGAGCAGGGAATCTTTTCCTTTTGAAGTGAGTGAAGTTCTTATGTGGTGTCTTTATTATTTATTGCAGAACTCTAAAGTATTGAGTTGAAGTACTTTCCTGGAACAGATCTTGCTTTGCCCCAGCCTTGGTCCTGAGTTGCACTGACCTGCATTGCACATCCAGGATCCTACTTTGTTATCATATCTGGAAGGAGATGATTGTCTCTTATAGCCATAGTGGTCACTAAATTTTTTCAGGAAGACCTTAAGATACTGACAGTGGGCATCCAATTATTACATTTGCCAGACTTTCCAACCTCTGAAAGCCTCTGATGCGCATGATTAAAATTGGGAAATAACCATAACATGAAGTATCTTGAAATAGTTACACCCCTCTTTTGACACATAACTCTGCTTTGCTTTCCTTATAAACTCAGTTATAGGAAACTTCTGCATAGTTAAAAAAGAACTAAATTATGCAGTGAGCCTGCCATCCTATATCGAATGGTTCCCAGATGTTCTCAGTTAGTAGGAAACAGTGTTGAGTCAGTCTTCAATTTCAATACAGTCCCTGAAACTTCACCTTGACAGGAGAATCCACACTTTTGCATGGAAAGCTGCGCAAGTGCTGTGAGGAGGCAAGGCTCAGGTGGTGCTCCCAGCTGAACAGCAGGTGGCTGTCTATGCTAAAGAGGAAGTGGGTTGGAACACGTGGCAGGGAGATGGTTCTTGTGTAGACTATTCTGGAAGCTCAAATGCTGTGCTTTAGCCATAGGAACAGTAGTAGATAGCTTCATCATCTTCCTCCAAGGAATATATTGTCAATGTTGATGTGGAAGCACTGGAATTTTTACTTGCCTCCATTTTCTTGTGCTTCTCATTTAAGAGAATATGAGTAGGAGTTGCGATGACATATAATAGAAACTCTAAACCTTGATTTGGTTTCTGCCGGTACCAGTGTATGGCTACACTTTTAAAGCTGTTGATGGAAGCCTTACAGGATATTTGAACACTCTCATCTGTTGTTCTGGAAATTGATATTTCCGGTTGCTCCAACTTCCCAAGTCCAACTGTAAGTAAAGGAAAAAAATTCCCATAAGAAACTGGCAAGTGAAGAAACAGCAATCCAGACGGACTTCATTCTCTACTGAACAGGGAAAGGACAGTGGCAACTCACAAGTCAAGAGACATGAGAAAACGACTACTTTCAGGAATGGATTCCCATCTGCCAGGCCGGCTTCCCAGGGAAGATGTAAAGGAAGGCGGACTTGTGAGCCGGAGTTCTTCATGGTCTGCTGTAGTTCTGAATGGCTCTGGGTTTCCTGGCCCACACAAGCTGGCCAGATTAGCATGTAAGTTGTAGCTGTTCTTCTAGGGGTTGGGGGGCAGTGTGGGTGCAGCCTTCTTATCTGTTCTGTCTTCCATTGCTTACTGCAGAGATGTTGTTTGGAGCTACAAAGACATACTTGCTATGCTCTCTTTCCATGTTTACTTATCTGTGATTTGCGGTGCGTTCAGACCTGGGGGAAGAAAAAAAAAACAGGGAAAAAACCCTGACCTTATTTATCCAACAACAACAAATCAGCCTTTGAAACGTTTTACTGACTTTACTTAACAGACCAAATGCATAAGCACTGGATACTTTATAGGTTCTTTTTAATCAACTGGATTTCACTAAACAAATTGTGAGCCAGGGAAATCATTTTATTTATACTCTTGATCCCTTTAAGAATTAATCAGACAACAGTTATTGGGGAATACGAGACAAACCTGCTGTGAAAATTAGTTTCTGTACTCTCTGGGTAATGGAACTTTCCATGAGCAGATGTCAGGGGCAATAGTGTTTTTAAATCTGTCTTAAGTTAAATATGTGATGAGAACTTTAACATTAATTTAGTATTTAAGAGTCACTGAGGACTTGTTTCTTGTCAGACTCTGGTCAACCTGTTTTCTTATATTATTGAAACAGCTTTTCTGATAGCCTTGCAAGGTCGGTGTTATGAGCATCTCTATTTGACAAATAAAATCATTCAAATAGTTTGAACTTTTTGTACTTATTTTGTACTCATTAATAGAAATAAGGCTGCTGTGTATCATTGACATTTGTGTATGTATGCACATAATTTTAAGTGGGATGTACATAACTAACTTTCATTTCCCTCCCAATTTTCCCATCGTGTGTAATAGTTCCAGTCTTTATATCTATAAAAAATCATTTTTAAGAATCAATGGCAATTAAATGTCCTCCAATAGTGCACAACCTTGTAGAAAACTAGCTGAGGTAATTAAGCTTTCTGGGTCATGATTTCTACCTGTGCACCTTGCCTACACGTAGGTTTTTGAAATGGTAGGAAATTTATAAAATTGTGCTACACAAAGGCACTGAATTAAATGCTCAGATATGTATGCCACGCACATCTTAAGTCTTCACTGTTGTCATTAACTATTATCAAACAACAGAAAATAACATTACTAATCATTTTTACAAAACCACAATATCTCATTTAAGAACAAGTAAAATTGAGAAATGTACGTAGAAGAAATTAAAACACCTATTTCTTTGTAAATAATTACTCTTAAAAAATTGGGAAATATATTTCCTTTTCTAAAATGTCAAGAAAAATTTTGTATTGTTCAGAGATTATTAATCACTGTATGAAAATTTCATTATATTCCATTGTATTTTTAAATCTTACTAATGAATGCACAGACATTCATTTCAAAGGCTGTATAATATTCTTCGCATGTAGATCTAGATGGTAATCAAAGAAACATGATCCTAACTAGAGATAGAGGAAAAATAGATGAATCATATGTTTATTCTACTTCCTGTGTTTGCCTACCTTGAAAATCCCTCTCTATTCCCTCAAATTAACCAACATATCATGGATCCTTGACAGAGTGAAGAGCAAGAATGAACATGTTGATGTAATTTTGAAGATTAATTAAGTTGAAAAATAGATACAGATGTTTTCTGTACCATCTTGTTAGAATACTTTTATTTCTAGAAGATTACTACAAGTGCTATTGTTAAAAATAAAAAAGATAAGGATACTGAAATGTTTTATATGAAAAAAAGTAACTGAGAATTATTGGCATATTACTTATTCTACAAAATCACATAATTACTTGTCCTGAGCATTGCTTCAACATACAGTGATAATTCACATCAAGTAATGTTACATTGTGGTATATCTCCTCTATGGAATGGAAATAATTAATTGATTCTTTTATGCCTCCCGAGATGAAACAACTCAGTAACATCCCTAAAGAGCCTTGTTAGCTGAGTATCTATCCTGATTTATCAGGGGCCCTTGCCTGGATAAACACCTCGACCATTTAGTATTTCACTTATTTTCTGAGCTGATACAGTTGGTGAGAAAAGAATAATAGATATTTTAGGTGGTGTGGCTTAAAGGAAATAGTATATATGGTGATATATTGTGTACCCCAATATATTGTGAACCCTAATAAACTTATCTGGGGATCATAGGACAGAGCCAGCCACTAGACATAGAAGCCAGACAGTGGTGTCACACACCCTTAATCCTATCACTTGGGAGGCAGAGATCCGTCTGGGTCTCTGTGAGTTCAAGGCCACACTGAGAGAATCAGGCAGTGGTGGTACATTCCTTTAATCCCAGCACTTGAGATCTCATGCCTTTGGTATCAAGTATTTGAGAAGTATTTGTGGCTTGCTCTGTTTCTCTGATCTTTCAGTTTTCACCCCAATATCTGGCTCCGAGTTTTTTATTAATAAGACCTTTTAAGATTCATGTTACAAGTGTATGCAAAGGATTGAGAGCACGCATAGAGAACTCACATATGAGATTAGCTATTGTCTCACCTGCTCCCTCTTGTTCTTTACAAGCATCCAATGCTATGGGCTCGTCTAATGGCCAAAGTGGCCCCAGTTGGTTTTTGATATCAGCATCCTGAGCATTTTCCCTGCCCCAGCTCCCAGTGAAGGATTCTTCTTCCATCTTAATGTACTGCAGATATCTCAGCACCCACTTTCAGAATGGCAATCCTTACACCTCTTAGTGTGGCCTCATGGTTTAGTTCAGAAAACAGGGTTTCTTATCTTTGCTTATTCATTAGGCTTCAATTGCCTAAGCTTTAATTTCTTCAGTGGTTCAACAGACCAAAAGTAGTTATGCATCTCTAGGTGGTCTGACTGTAGCAATCTGTTGATTGAGTTGGATTCTAAGCAGATAGACTGTGTATTGTATAATGTGACAGCTGGTGGGAGCTTAAAATATGTGCATTGCTCTATGTTCCTTCTGAACACCTCCACGAGGAGCCAACATTATTGGAAGCCTGTCGCGTCCGCCTCGACCAGCAAGGAAGACACAACACCGAGCTCTTCTTCTAAACTGTTTTATTCAGGTCCTTTCAAAATCTGTCTCCTTTGTTCTTCTCCCTAGGGAGAGTCCGACCCAGCCTTATATAGGTCTCAGACCACCAGCCATCATGCGCCACATGGGATTCCTGGATAGGTGCACGTATGCCTTAGCAAGCCAAAATCTAAAGCCAAGCCAAATAAGGAGTTGTTTAACATAGAGAGCACTCGCCATCGGGAGGGCGGAGGGGGGGGGGGGGGCGGAAGCCAGAGCCATCTCAAGAATGCAGCTTCATGTAGCTCTCTACAGAAGCCCACAGCAACTGAAACACTGGACCTTGCTTTCTCCCTGAGATAGACAATTTTAAAACATTTAATGTCTAAACCAAGTCAACAGGAAACGATGCTGACCTAGAAAGTTGGGGCCACAGTTCCTGGCATCTGTGGGGCACAGTCGATAGCCATCAGACTCCTTTTCTGGTTTCCCCTGATAGAAGTGCTGCAGGTGGGGGCTGAGGGTGAGCAGGGCTCAGGGCTGGATTGGGTTGCTCCATGTTAGGAAGGAAGTGGTTGCAGACATGCTGAGGGTGTGTGTGCTCATTGCTATGACTCTAATCACGGCAGGTTCCCAGGGCCAGCATGTCATCATGTCTTGTTTTTCCATGAAATTTGTGTGAAGGACCAAAGAAGGGGGAGAGGGTTTTACATGCCTCACATCTGTTGCACTTTACCTGTAACTGACCTTGAATCATGTTTTTCCTCCTGAGGTAGATATCAGATCCTCAAAAACCTCATTTGGAGTTTTTCAGTGCCCGAGTATATATGAAAATCTGTATGTGTATAACTGCAGAGAAAATGTATGCTTCCTTTCTGCAGTGGAATACATTCACTTCGTTCACTTGTATTCAATTTCTACTTCAAACAAAAGAACAGCATTATGAGAAATATAAAAATTACAAAAACAATCAATATCACTTAAAAGTCTCCCTCAGGAATAGAGGAGCAAACTTACAGATTGAAAAGCAAGGGAATACTTGTAGCTATACATACCACCTGCCTGTCTGGGCTCTGTGTCTAAACCTTAGACTTACACTCCCTAAGGAGAAGCATGGGGAGTCAAGGTTCTTGGAGTAGAAGGTGTCAAGCCAGGATGAAGGAGCAGGAGTTGTATCCTATAGTGTTTAGGAAGAAAACAGGCACACCCAGAGCAGCCAGTCCTGAGAGTCAGGTTTGCCCCATTCTGTATGACACCAAAACAATCATCCCATTTACTGAGAAAAATGTCACAAAATTTGGTACCTTGTTGGCTCTCATCAACATTATTATTTTATTGATTTCAATGATTACCAAGCCTTTGGGACATGGCTTTCTTAGTCCAGAGTTTCTTGGCCTGGTACTGTTAACATCTGGGTTGTGGTCATTGGTCCTGAGGTATGAGGAGAAAGCTGTGCTATGAACTATAGAATGTTCGGCTGAGTTGTGGCCTCTACCCAGTGGATGACAGTATGACTCCACCATGTTGTGACAACTTAAAATGTCTACAAACATTGCCAGTGTTTCCTAGAGGAGAAGACCTTGAGCTGAGAATCATTGTTTTAGCCACATGTTTAGGAAAAGGTACACGCTAACATAATTGTCATGAGGTCTTAGCTGAGATGGGGACAAAATGAGACTCCTAATGAACAACCGGCATGTAAATTTTCCTTGTCACCATCAGCATCCTTTAATCTTTCTACCACCTCTTTCTTTTAGAGGAGTTTGCACAATAACTGTCACTTATCATATAGCACTGATGTTTGGGGAGCCTTCAAAACTAAAGCTCAGGAAAACTGAATGCATAATAAGTCTTTCTACAGTTCGTTTTTAAGTAAGCGCTGAAGTTCATTTTCATGTGACTTGGGAGAGTACATGAATTTTTTTTTACCATACAATGAGTTAAAAAAAAGAAAGAAAAAAGAAAAGAAAAGAAAGAAAGAAAGAAAAAGAAAATACTCTATTTCAGCCCAAAGTGTTCGCAGTATAGAAGGATTTGGGGGTTAGTTTATTCATTCATGTTTCACTCTGCAATCAAAGCAATAAAGTTTTCAGTTTCAACTGGACTCAAGTATCAGTTACCAAGTGGCATGAAAGTCTCAATCTGTTAATTCCAAAACATCTATAAAATTGAGACAATGAGAACAATAATGGATAT